AGAAAGCTGCTATTGTGCTTGGCATAGATAATTGATTCCAAAAGCTAAAGAGGATTTCATTACTTCATCGTCTCACAAGAATTTGAACAAACTGCACCTTGAGTAGCTCAAATGTTCAGTGAAGTATAGAATCGACTTGGCAAGATATCAAAACGTCTATATTAGATCGAGCAATGTTTGCTTGAGCCAAGAGTGATCATATCAAAGTTATGATTGAAATTTCATAATGGAATCCACAAAGAACATAGTGTGTGTTGATAGAGACCTCGATGCCATTTGGAAGTGACTTGAACAATGATGGATCACATCCCTTCCTATAAAGTTCTTAAAGATTTGCACAAATGATTAGTGTTACACTATACAAAAGTGTCGAAGCTAAGAAAGGACACCATATTCAGTTATGGATGGAAATAGCTTCTAGCGTCTTTTCAAATATATGTCTAGGGCTCTTAACTCAGTGGGAGTTCTTTGGCTCAATGGGAACTAAGTGGCTCAATAAGGGCTAAGGTAGCTCGAGAAGGAGCTAACTGTTTGTTAAACAACGGACTAATACCCAAAGACAATATACATGTCTCTTTGTGAGTATTCAAGTGAGACTATAGGCATTACTTCCACAACCTAATTGAGAACATAGTATTTGTTGCTCTAAGTGTGACTTTCTGGAAAGTAACACATTTCCAAAACGACAAGTGGGAGGAAAATGAACTCGATGAGCATCGAGATTAGCAAAAAACTCAAACTGAGAATCTCTGAAGACTTTAGAAGGGCTTCATGAGAATGATTGATCAAGAAAACTCAAAGGACTTTACAAGTGCCTTTAAAGAGAATTCAATACTCACAAAACTTTAGAAGTGGTGGAGTAAGATCAATATAATCAAAAGGTTTTAAAAGCATCTTAAAACTCAGTGTTTGATGCAATTACCCCGTATAGGTATAGAATTCACCAAAGGATTGGATTGAATCCTATAAATTTCTATTAAGTTAGAAATAAACCTAAAACTTACAAGCATACTATTTACCATTGGATGGTAAGGGAATAGTGTCTTGTAAATTAGCTACGACAAATCCAAATTCCGAATAATAGTTAGTGGCCATAAAATCCGAAATAAACTCCATGTTTGTAAATCATGTTTGGAACTTGTCTAATTTGCATGAAGGTTGAAAGACCCATCAATCGCAAATAAGTTTTCAAGGAGAAAACTGACAAATGTGAAATTCATTATGCATACACAGCTAAATTGGTTGAAAAGGATACAATTAATTCACGACGTTGATTTTAATAAAACCTATTCACTAATCGGAACGCTTAAGTTTTTCGTGATTATTCTAGCAAATTGCGCATATGAAATATGGAAAAATATAATGAAACCGCCTTCCTAAAATGGGATTGTGGGATTAAGTGAAGCATTGTATGTAGAAATTGGAACATGTATTCTCATAAAGTTAATAAAAGGTGTGGCTTATGGTGAATCATACAAAAATAAAAAATAAAAAATCTTATGAACAAGAAGTTTAGTGGGAGCAAGAGTCAATCTTGAATGGTCTAACAAGAAGTTTAAGAACTCTATTGTGAAATGAATGTCAAATGCTAAATGCTTAGATTTGAAAGGATTTTCGACAATGAACTAAGCAAAAGGCGATACTTAGTACATAGTGGGAATTAAGATCTATTGGATAGACTTAATGAAATGTTTAAATGAGTAGAGGAATTTACCGTGTTAAACATGAAGGACTTAGAAAGGCTTTCGACCCATATGTATAAAACTAAGTAAATGTTTGAACTAAGTATAAGTTGGGCAAATACTAAGTCAAACAAGAAAGACTCTAGTAGTGACTTTCAATCGTATCACATAACAAACAGTTTAACAAGACTCAGTGAAACTGAATGAGCTAAAAGGTCACATGAATGGAATAATATTGGGAATAATTATGCAATTAAAACCATCATGTATGCTATGATATGGAGTAGTCACTCAACTTACATGCTTAAAGCATGAGAAGTATAAAATACCAATCAATTCAAATCGTAGTGATGAATCGTTAGATTATGATCAAGAGAAATCCAAAGTACTTTGATAAGTAAAAGGGGATAAGTTCTTGACGCATGGAAACAAATGTAATTTGAGAATTGATGTTGCAAGCACATCCTTAGCAAGGATTGAATCCTTAATAAGGAAGTCGTTTATAAGCATGAGCTAGAATGCGTCGTGGCTTGAGAATGGTAACATGGACACGCATCCATGTATAATATGCGGAAATTTAAGATAAATTTCCATAATGACAAATGATTAGGGTCTCCCAAATCATTGTGAGCCGTTCGGAATGAAATCCGAGAAAAACACCATCAGAAAATCTACTAAAATATATGTTGAGAATATTGTTGCCTGGAAGGCAATAATAAGAAAGTGTTCAATGGAAAGTACGTTGTCGAACGTTGATGATTATAGTTTGTCAAGTTGAAGGATCTCAAATCATGAAAATGAGTAGGAGCCATCACTTGGACAAGAAATCCTAAATCACATATGATCCATAACCCTCTCAAAATTTTATAATCTTATTATGAAATTGTTCGATAATGAAGACGCTAAGATTTGCAAAGTAATAATAACTAAACCTATGCAATAAGTGAACGACAACATTCACCAGAATTGCATGAAAGAAATCAAGCATATTAAATATGGGTATGTTTTCTATAAATGTTTTGTGAAGAGTGTTACTCTTGAAACATTTGGGGAAAACCATTTATAATAAGATGAAACGTTGAAACATTTGTTAAGTGAACATTGAATATTTCAATCGAAATTATCCCTAATCAGGGTCATTAAAATGATGGACGATTAATGACCACTTGAGATTAGTGTGTAGTATGATTTATAGCACCGTTTCTTGTGTTACGAGGACATGATTGTCATAAATCATTTGCACAGGTATTGGTTTCACTAGGCGAAAATTGCTAATCAGCACCCGATCAAAACCCCCAGTTCGCACCCGTTTTAAACCGGTTCTGATTTGAGGGATGCCAAATCCCAAGGCTTTTCGCACCGGTTCTTGGTTTGAACCGGAAAGAACCGGTGCGAAAAGTCCCCTAAAATATTAAAAAAAAAAAAAAAAAAAAACTTTTAACATGGGTTCTGTTCTAAAACCGGTGCCAAAAATGCCCAAAAAAAATTAAAAAAAATTCTTTTTTTGCATTTTTTTTCATTATAAACACTAACATATATATAAAGTTACATATTTTCATTAAAAAAGGCTGTAATATTACAATTTTCGTCCAAAAAAATAAAATTCTATACTAGGTGCTACTGTTGCTGTAACCTTCTGTTTTTAATACCAACATGCTACCTTGGCAACATTGCTCTAATGAAGCACATTCATATCCACCTAACTGAAAGGAATAGTGTCCTTCCAACAAGTGTATTTTTTCGATAAAGGGTTCAGAATTATTACGGAGCTTATTTTTCAGTAAGGTCAAGTGATCGGAATGCCTATGTGGAGGCCGCTTTCGATCAGTAATATCAATGTACAATTGATGTTACAGCTTAATCTTAATTGAACCCTTTGGGTCGAACCCAATCGAATCACCGATCCAAGATGACGAATTAATCCGAAAGGATTTAATGAGTCAGCAGAGTTTTACGAATACAGACGTCGGATATCGAGCCTAGAGCATCGAGACCGAGCGTCGCGAAATCACAAAGCAACAAGTATGAACATAGCCCTAGCACCACACTGTCCTAACCATGTGGATGCTAGGCTAGTTCAGGCTAGCATGCACCTAGCATGGCTAGGCGCAAGCCTAAGCACACTAGGTGTGCTAGGCGCGCCATCGCAGCCTAGGTGAACCATCGCAGCCTAGGCGCGGCCTAGCAGCCTGTCGCAAGCAATAGGCGCACCAGGTGCACCGAGCAACCCATCGCAGCTATCGCAGCCCTAGCATGAGGCTGGGCACCATCGCTGCCCATCGCAGGCACCAAGCGCACCATCGCTGGCACTGGGTGCTGCGTGCGTGCGTGCCTGGCATGGCAGCACCATCGCTGGCACCAAGTGCTAGCATGGGTGCTTGGCTAGCATTGGCGCAGCATGCATGCTGACTTGTGTGCTCGCCTTCGCATGGCAGCACCAAGCAGCGCACCATGCATGTGCGAGGGCCTGGGCACCAGCATATTGCTAGGCCATGCACAGCAGCCCGGCATCACCACGCACCAAGGCTGCTGTGTGATGCGTGGGTGTGCGTGTGGTGCGAGGCCAATGCACGCTGTGCATGACTAGTGCTCATGGTGCGTAGCCACGCATGCTGGATGCGCGAGGTGTGTGCGTATGTGCGTGGGATGCTGGGGCCAGCGCCAGCACGCACCAGCGCCAAGCATCGCCCAGCACCAAGCAGCACTGCCTGGCTGGGATGCGAGGCTGCTGGCTTGTGCTAGCTGGTTGGGCGTGCTGGCAATACTAGCTTGCAGCCAGCCCAGCTGCCTTTGTGAGCGGCAGTTTAGGAGAGGTGGGGACCAAAGCCTCTAGGCTTTCCTTGGGAAGCAAGGCAATGGTCCCCCCCATGGGATATGGTCCTCACCTAACCCATTCTCTCCTCTTGCCACTTGTTGCCTTGTGATTGCTTTTGCCTAATTATTTATTTTGGAATTAAATAAATTATTGCAATTGCACATGATCCCACATTGATCATGAAAAGGGGTTTCAAGTCCCCATTCTTTATAAATACCCACTTGGTTGAGATTTTGAGAATATAACCTTGAGTGGAATTAAAAAGGCAACTCTAATTAAGAGTAAACCTTTGATTCGTAAAACTCATAGTTATTTTGTCCGGGTCTTGACTAACCTTCAAGACTTAGGAAGCTCGGGTCGGGTCGAGGATACGATCCGTCGGAGATCTCGTGTTTTCGGGATTTTAAAGTAAGAGCTCTTTGGGAGTGAAGCACGCGTCAAAGGTATAATTCTTGTTTTTAATCTTGTTTGATTAAGTTTAATATGCTTGTTAATTGTTTTAATTAAGGGGCGGGTCTTGGTGGGTTTCCTTCCGCGTAGTGTCGGGTCACTACGAAACCCTACACTAACACCCTTACCCGATGAAAGTTCAAAGCAGGAAATCCTATAGTCCTACTGAACATTGATTAGTCTACACTGCTACATACAGGCTTACAGCAAAAAAGAATGTGAAAGATAATTTACTAAGAAAATTGGCCAAATTCCTTAGAATCCAGATCTGATATTTTTGTTTTTTTCAACTGCTTAGCAGTCTTTTTTGCAGCAGCTTTCAGAGCCCTGTCCGCTTGACTTCTAGCAAACTTATCGCGATAAAATTTCTATTTCCTCATCTTTCTGCAAATTACCCAAACTTTTAATAAAAGACAATAAAAATAAGTCTGTTCTGCAGTATAAAGAGACAAATAAATTTGTAAGCTAACCTGTAAATATGCATTTCCTTCACTTGAAACAGCCATTGCAGTTTTAAGTCCCTGCTTTAGCTTAACCTGAGCCAACAAAAAAGCTAGCTAAATTTACCAACACTACAGAAGAATTTTTACAATATGAAACCATAAACTCAATTGTCGTAACCAAAAAATAACCTTCTCCGTGGCTTCTACATACTGCTCTACATGCTTTCCTACTTTTTCTGCTAATGCCTTAGTTAAAGAATGTGCTTCTGCCTGTGGAGCATCAGGAATGACAGAACCATATCCCTGACCTGTAAAACCAGAAAAAATGATAATAATTATAATAAAATAAAAGCAGGACTAAAATACAGCTAAAACAAATACTTGTATTCAATATGCAATTACTCTATATGAGCCAAATTTCAAAAGATCTTAACACAACTAACCAAAATTTACTACTCCGTACCAAGCTAGCCATATATGGCAAAAGAATAACTAATGACTTCAATTAACCAATCCACACAAAGATTTAAGAACTATAACTAGAAATGATTCATGATAACACAATTCAAAATGAAGCACAACTATCATCAATTTAGAAACTATCACAATTACTCGTCGTTGCTTGATTTGCGACAACCACGGCACCACCTGTTGCATGCTTCCCGCCACCCCCCCATCCACCAATTTCACATAGCAATCCTCCCCAACACCTATAAATCACATTGAGCAATGTTATAAGATTAAAAGGTGTTATAGGAAACTCGGGCATTGCATGCAGTACTAGCAGTATAGTATAATTAAGACAAACTGATGGATATCTGCCCAGCGATGTAATCATTTAATATGATGGGTAACAGATACTGTAAAGCTGAAACTTATCTAGATATAATGATATTTACCTTTGTTATTATACAATCACAAGCTCCAATGCACTCCTCAATTTTAGTAACAAAGCCCTTCAACTGGAATTTTTAGTTGGCCATCAACTTTTAATCTTGAAGAATTAATTGAAACAAGATATCAAAACACGAAAGTAGTAAAGCTGAACAGAACCAAATTCAGTGGTAACCCTTAGGCTATGTTCAGCTCAAAGCTTGGATCAAGCTCAGTTTGACCTGTTATATGAGCCAAATTGCGTTCAGCCCCAACATATTAACACTCAAATAAGCTAGGTTTGGTCTAATTTCTTACTGAATTCTTTTTTCTTTTTTTTTTGTATAAAGTACTTGTTAACAGTCATTTGATAATTATAATAAATTAAAGTCATTTTGTTTTATTTCTGTTGTGAAAAAAAAAATTTGAAACAAGCTGAGTCTTAGTATGAGCTTCAAACCATGTTCCCATGACAAAACTCAAATTGAGCTCAAGCTGTCAGAACTTAGCAAGTTTAAACTGAGCTAAGTTCTGACAGCTAGGACTTATTTCATTTCAGCTTTGCAAAGATCCCTAAAAGCATACCCACTGACACCCTTTCATAATCCATTCATGCAAAACTACCCACATAATCGCATATAGTATACCTGGACAGGGATCTTCCAATCAATTGAACTCAATTTTGCAGCAAGCTTTTTGTTGCGACCACAAATCACAATAACTTGACCTATTGGCTCACCAACGCTAGCATCATATAATGCATTTCCAAGAGCTCGTGCAGTAGCCTCAATGAGACCCATGCCTTCCCCTCCTCCCATCAACAAAACAGCAGGAAGATGCTCATCCATTCCAAGTTCCTTGCGTAACTCATGCTGTGGAAAACAAAAAAAAATTAAAAACAATATCACCAGCTGCACATACCAGAAACCCTTTATGTCAACATTAAGGGCAAAATCATCAACACAGCAGAATAGGGAGAAACAACGTAATTTCTTGGAGAGATTCCATGAAACAATTGCATCAGCAATAAGCAGAATATAAAACACCAATACCATAACATTACCAAGAAAGTGTATATCAAACTTAATAATTAAGCTTGTTATAAACTAGCCAATCTTAACCAGAACACAAATGGTAAACTTTAGTACACAGCCAAACCAGATTACATTTCCAGAAACATAGTAATATAACCAACAATAAACAAGCAATGGAGTACAGGAAAAAAAATTATATGAATAGGTACACAGACCTTTGGCCTATCAGACCTAACAAAGGATGGCCGCACAGGAAGTCCATAAACTTTTATTTGGGAAGACTGAAGACCAGCTTTTGTTGCCCTTTTAGCCACCTCATTTGAAGGGCAGTAGCACCTTGTTACAAGCTTATGAAACCTACAAGGAGGAAGAAAAAGAAAGGTCAGGGACCAATGTCACGGTCTTGTTACAAAATACAAACATAAAACCTACATAAAGGAAACCGCACAGCCTACCAGGTAGGATGACAGGTGCTCAAGTCTGTAACTACTGTAGTAAAGACAATTTTCTAAAGAAGACCCCTGCCCCTCAAGATACGAAGTGGAACATGTTGCATCAACGGATGCACAGTAATGATTATATCTGGCCGATATTTCATCAATCCTTTAGCTACCTCTCTGCAAAGAATAAAAGAAACAAAGTTAGCTTTGAAGTGACACAGCATACAACTAGTTGATCCAGAAGTTTCACATGCCTCACAAAGCTGACACAAGCAACAAGGCAACAGAATATACTCAAAGTTGACAACCATATTGCACAAATTTAATACAAGGTGAATTGACTTCAATCCATTCAATTCAATTATGTAAAAAGCAAAGAAATACTTAATTGTATTGTTAACCATGCATTAACTTAAACTGAATTCAATTTCCAGAAATTCAAGATAATAAAAAATCAATCAAAGAAAGTAGCTAACCTATTAATGTCACTATTTGAGACAAAAAAGGTAGCACTGAATCAAAAAAAATGCATGATGTCTTACAACTTGCAAACCAAACATACCGTTCCCAGCCCTTCTGTGCAAGGACCACCCACCAAAGCAATAATCCGAGCACCGGTTCCTAGTGAACAGGCTCCAAGCAACCCTGCAGCCACATTCAATGCCACACCGATGCATCGCAATGCTCTACTACCAGGTGGAACAGGCCACTGGTCTGTTTGTAGTTCACCAGTAACTAAATTCACAGACAAAAAAAAGGGTAAGCTTAATTCCAAACTTTCATCACTAAGACACATCCTCTTCAACCTTAATTCCTCCAAAAAAGGGTAAGCTTTTGCAAAGCAAAGAAGCCATGGATGAATATCAGCCCCCCAATTTTCAGGTACCAAATTAAAATCTGAAAATCTGGGTTTTCCTTTCAAGATTACACTCTTAATTTTTGGGAATCTTCTAGCAACAATTTCAGGTGTTACAGAATAACAATTCCTAATAAAAATATGGGTTCTGCTCCACCTCTCAGCATTATACCAATTTTTGCAAACTAATGAAAGTGAAATTCTGTCTTTGAGAGATTCTAACATACCCAGAACTTTTTCCAGCACTTCATCTGGGAAAGATGAGATTTTTGGGGGCAAATTTGATGGGTCTTTGCTCTTTTTTAACACCCATCTATGAAATTATTGAAAAACCCACAAATTTTTTTTGGAAAAAAATTGGAAATTTATCACAAAATTGATTTTTTTTATTATTTATTTATTTTTTTGCAAATTTGATGGGGTTTTGCATTTTATTTTTGAATCCATTTCAAATATTATTAAAAACCAAGCAACAACAACAACAAGATTCGACAACCCTAAAACAACACCAACAACCTCCACCATCTAAACTAAGAGCAGCTTCCACCGCAACGGAGCACAACAACAGAGGAGCCGCATTAAACACCCTCAAATCTAAAGATGAAATCATAAATTTTAAAACGAAAATAAAAAATTCTAGATCAATAATTGAAAATTAAAACGAATCTAAAATGAAAATCAGAAATTTAGATCTAAAATAATTGAGAATTAACGAAATTTTATAATGGATGAAAATATATAAGAAATTTGTAATAGAAGTGCTAATAGAGATCTCAATATCACACCTTGATGGAGGAGGCAGCGGCACCGAGCAAGAACCGAAAGGCGTGGCGGAAACAACACGGCACTCAATATTACTCTTCTTTTTCTTCTTCCTCAAGGTTGTGCTTGGTTATGGAGAAGGAGATCGAAAGAGAGAAGAAAGGAAAGGAGAGAGCGGCAGACCAGTACGCTTCAATGGAGGAGAGAGAGCGGTAGACCAGTACGCTTCAATGGAGGAGAAAGAGGAGGAAAAATCGTGGAATTGAAAGAGAAAGAAAGAACTGAAATGAAAGAGCTGAGAAAGAAAGAAAAATAAAAGGAAACCGTTTTTTTTTTTTACAACACTTTTCGCACCGGTTCAAACTGAATCGGTGCAATTTACTCACTTTTCCCACCGCTTTTGTAAGAACCGGTGCGAAAACAAACTTTTCGCACCGGTTTCGTTAGAACCGTGCGAAAACTCATTCCCTCAATCCCGCCTATTTTTTTCGCACCGGTTTTTAAAAATCGGTGCGCATTTGGCGGTGCCCATTTCAGTTTTTCTACTAGTGTTTAGAACTATATCGGATCGACCTATGAGAATACTTTAAGAGATTTAAAATCTTCATAAAAATATTTCTCATTATAGCTACCGGAACCTTTTTCCTCGACCATAAGTATTGTAAATTCTCTTGTTTGAGTACTAGTTTGTTTTGATATTGTCAAACGTCTGCCGTAAATAGGGATTATAACGGCAACAATCGGGCTGCTAGGTCCTCTTAGTAAGGGAAGCTCACAGTATAAGACTAGAAATGTCCCCCTATTATTAACAATAGGGATATGTCTTTGTGGTTTACAAAGCCTCTCGAAGAGCAAGACTGTGAAAATGCATGGTCATGCTTAGATGGATTTTAGAAACCATCTTCTTATTGAAAATCAAACTCGAAAATCGAGAAACACTTCTGGACGCAATAAGGATGACGAAGAATCTTACCTTATAGTTCATGAAGAGACATTAAGCGACATAGGAAATGGGTTATACACTAATTGCACAGTGCATTATTCCGATCAGTAATATTAATGTGTAATTATTATTACAGTGTAATCTTGACTGAACCCTTCGGGTCACACCCAATCGAGTAACCAATCCGAGACGACGAATCAATCCGAAGGATTAGATGAGTCATTAGAGTATTACGAACAAAGACGTCGGATATCGAGCTTAGAGCGTCGAAACTGAGCGTCGAGAGTCGAGTCGAATTTAGAATTCGACGAGACGTAGAATCAAGCAAGCGACAAGTACGAGCCAAGCCATAGCCTCGCATTAGCCTAGCCATGCGAGTGCTAGGCTAGGCGAGGGCACCAACCGCATGCATGCTAGCATGGTGGGCATCGCACCCAGCCACACACATAGCCGTAGCTAGGCTGCGCTTAGCATGAAAGCATCATAAGCATGGTGCCTTGCGTATGCATGCTATGCGTTCTTGCTAGCATGCTAGGGACTAGCGCCCAGCTCTTCGCAGCCTCGCACCAAGCAGCATACTCGCACAGCACACGCATTGCAGCAGCGTGTTGTGTGTGCGTGTATGTAGTTGTGCATGCTTGCTAGCGAGCAGCACCTCGCCACTCGCACAGCAGCAGCAACGCGTGCGTGTGCTGGCTGGCTATGTGTTTGATGGCTGGGCTGCCTAGCCTTGGTGCTAGGCGCCAGCTGGCAACCTTGGAAGCCAAGGCAGGCTGCCAGCCAGCCAAGTG